GCGCGGATGCGTTTCGGAGCGAGCAGCCTGCCGCGAATCGTTGTTGTGCTGGGGCGTCAGGTTTCACAACTTCGTAAAAAAGGCAGGTTATTCATCTGCAAATAAATATAGTTATCACATTGATGTTGCTTCAAAATCTCCTATTATTACTGAATTCAACGGTATCGCATTCCCGTCACGATAATATGCCTTTTTCAAAGAACAGATCGCAAAGAATCTAACTCTTCTCGCACCCAGGTTGGATGACAGGAGGGTGCGGGGGAGAGAGAGGGTTGCAAGGGAGGGGAAGAGAGGGGGAAAGGGAGAGGGCGGAGAGAGAAGAGGAGAGGGTTTAAGAAAGAAGCGGAAAGGGAGATGAGGGAATGGAAGGGGAGGTAAGGGAGTGGAGAGAAAGGAAGAGGAAAAGAAAGGGAAGAAGAGGGGGTGAGGAAAAGAGTGAAGAGAAGAAAAGGGAAGAGAAGAAGAGAGAGTCTTGGAGGAGAGGAAAAAGTGAAGTCTTGAGTGACTACAGGACATCAATCTTTATTTATTCATATTTCTGCTTTCGTGAACTGACATCCTTTCTTCATTCGTGACACGTTCTTTCCAGCAGGAACTGCGGTGCCATCATGGCATCCCTCATCCCCTCAAAGGCTCGCCTCATAACCACAACGCCTGCCGCTCCCTTATCCTTATCCTTATCGTTCCCTCCGCTGCCCTCCCCTCGCCTCCCACCAAAGCCAACGGCTCCCTCGCCGCCCTGCCAATCCTGATGCCCCGAAGGCAACTGCGGATCAAGGCGACTCCAGGAGCCGATGACTTCTCCTTGGCGTCTTGATCCGCCTCAGGAAGACGGCGACGTCTTCGTGCGCAGGATCTGGAGGGAATCATCTCTGGCTTATCTCTCGCGGCGCGCGCGCGCACACGCTTCCGGACGCGAACCTTGTTAATCAGGCGCCTCGTCTGTCTGCCTCTTCTCACGAAAACACACATACTCGTACATATCAATCTATGTATGTATATATGTATATATGTATGTATACACACACATATATATATGTGTGGGTGGGTGGGTGTGCGTGTGTATATATATACATACATACATACATATTACATATATATACATAAACATATGTATATATATATATATATATATATATATATATATATATATATATATATATATATATATATATATATATATATATATATATATATATGTATGTATGTACTTACATATATTAATCATAGCAAGCATACGCACACCCATCCCAACCTCCCCGGCCCTAAATTCCTATCTGTCGCAAGCCAAACACAGAGACGCGCGTGTTTGACTTTCTTATTCCTGTCGTCTTATCTCCAAAGCGTCGTGTGTATCTGTTTGCCGAGAGACTGTGTACACGTGTGCGTTCCTTTGTTTAATGCGATACTTATTGTACGCGGAGTCTTGTTTACCCGCGGTAGATAGCCGGCGTGAGAGAGAGACAAATGCTATCGCCGCGGCCGCAGACTTTCACTTTTTCACTTCTATTTTTGTTTGATATTTTTGTATTTTGCTGTTTTATGTTTTTTTTTATATATTTCACGAGAGAAAAGAAAACGTAAATATCTGAGAATGTTTTTTTTCGCACGATGGTATTTTATGTCATTTAATCGGTTCTTTTGGTTTGATTTTAAGAATTCGAGTTTCATCAAATTTACCTTATTTTGTTCAGTTGGATGATGATGGTGATGATGGCGATGGTGATGATAATGATGACGAAAATACAAGGTTATTTTTTACTTCCATATTTGCGTAAACGAAATGAATACGGCGTGGATTTTCGGCAGATTCGAACGTTACAAATTCTTCTCGACTCGAATGTACAACAGATCTGTAATGTGGCGTTCGGATGTAACTTTTTTTTTTTTTTTTTCTTTTTAGCTCCTTGCTTTCATTCTACATATTCTTTTGGACATTTTTTCGTGGCATTTCTCTCACATTAAAACGGCATCATTTTTTAAATCGACACGGAACCCGGACTTCTCTCTCTCTCCCTCACTCCTCTCTCTACGTCTATCTATCTATATATGTGCACATAAACAGATCGATTTCTCCGTCTCTTTCACCCCCCCCCCCGCCCTTCCCCACTCTCTCTGTCTTTCCGAATGAATCAATTCTCAGCATCGATTTTTATTTTTTTTTCTCTCCTTCACGAGTGCTATTTTTTCGTTTTTTCTCATTCCTCTTCACTTTATTCTGGTCTTCTTGCGAATCTTCCTCTTGCTCGCTTTCCATCTCCATTTCTGTTCGTATAATCTTATTTTCTTGCATTTACTTCTTTTGGGAGATCAGTCTGTTTCTCTTTCTCTCTCTATCTCTTCCTTTTTCTCTCTCTCATTACCCTCCAATCTCCCTCCTTTTCTCTCTTTCTCTCTCTCTCCCTTCCTCCCCTGTCTCTCTCTCTCTCTCTCTCCCATCCCCCTCCCCCTCCCTCCCCTCTCTCTCTCTCTCTCTCTCTCTTTTCTCTTTCGCTTTTTTCTCCTTCTTTCTTCCCTTCTCGTGAAGTGCGCAGAGTCTTTGTTTCAGTTTCGAGTCCTTCTCCTTCGGCGATTTTTTGTCTTTTCATATTTTTTGTTTGTATTTTTAAATCTTTTTGTTCGCTGCGTCGGGGCTTCGAGCACGTGGGAGTGCGGGCGCCCACGCACGCACGTACACACATCTTCTCTTTCTCTTTGTCTGTCTGTCTGTCTTTGTCACTGTCTCCGTCTCTATCTGTCTGTCTCTCTCGCTTCTCCTCCTGTTCTTCTATCTTCCCCCATCTCTCTTAGCTCTCCCTCCTTCTCTCTCCTTATCCTTCCCTACCACACTCCCCTACCTTTCCTTCCCTCTCCCCCTTTTCCTCCTCCTTCTCCCCCACTCCCACTCCCCCTCCTTCTCCTCCCTCTCCTCCCCTCCCCCAAAACGCGAGCAGGCATCCTCGTGAGGAGGGTCGCGCTGGCTCGGAATTGGATAATGAGAAAGAAAAGGGCTGCCTCGTGAGCCCTTTGGACGGGGGTGCTGTGGAGGGGAAAGGGAGGGAAGGAGGGAGTGAGAGGGAGGGAGAAGGGGGAGGGAGGGAAAGGGAGGGAGGAGAGGGAGGAGAGGAAGGGGAAGGAGGGGGAAAGGGAGGGAGAGAGAAAGGGAGCGAGGGAGAAGGAGAAGGAGGGGAGGGAGGGATGAAGAAAGAGAGACTTTCACTCGGCCCTCACATATGCATAAACATCCATCTATACACATACTTACAGGGCGATCGCTTCACACGACAGACATCACGGGGGAAAAAAATCTTTCAGACTGAGCTGGAAAACACTTTTAATTCCTTGCTCTTCTCCTTCCTTCCGTAAGATGCTTAACAGGTTCCCAGAAAAAGAAATATGCGCGAAGCAAGCGGCCATAAGCCCTGGGAACTGCAGTAAACGTCCGAGATGCGACGTTGTATTCAAGGAAGTTTTTTTCTTCTTATGAATACGTACCGCGTTCGCACATATAACATGGGCTTAACACGGGAGGTCGAGCGGGGTGGGAGGACAGAGCAAGAGAGAGAAAGAAGAGAGAGAAGAGAGAGAGAGAGAGAGAGAGAGAGAGAGAGAAGAGAGAAGAGAGAGAGAGAGAGAGAGAGAGAGAGAGGAGAGAAGAGAGAAGAGAGAGAGATAGACAAAGAAGAGAGAGAGACAGAGAATAGTAGATAGAGAGAGAGAGAGAGAGAGAGAGAGAGACAGATAGAGAGAGAGCAGAATATTAGATAGAAAAGACATAGATTGATTGATAAACAGAAGATAGATAGAGAGAGAGAGGTGAGAGAAAGAAAGAGAAGAGAGAGATCACACACACTCGAGTCTTTTAAGACGACCCCGCCTCCTACCCCCATGCAACCCGACATGGTTTCGCCTCAATTGCCTGTTGAAATTAGTTCCACCTGCACCTAACCCCCCTCCCCCCCCCGCATCCCGCCGCGACCCGAACGAAGGCACCAGGATAGGAAGAGAACCTCACCAGGTGTTTCAATAACAATAAAAGTCGTTGCTGGAAGATTAGTACAAGAAGAAGCACCTTGTTATTCCGGGCGCGGAAGTGGCATTAACGCGAAGCAGGAAGAAGCATCGCCCAAAATGCCCTTTGCAGCTGGGCGAGGCGGCGAGGCTGCTGTGCTTCCCTCCGTCCGTCGCTCGGAAGTGTGCTTGCCAGTGCAGCTTCGTGGAATGGGCGGCTCGAGGAGGGGGGTTGGGGGGGGGCAGTGCCTGATCGAGAGGAGGAGGAAGTAGCCCGCTCTGTGTTATGCTTTAAGGCTTGATAGAGAATATATATAAGAGGAGAAGAGAAGACAGCCAAAGAGCGAGAGAGAGAGAGCAGAGAGAGAGAGAGAGAGAGAGAGAGAGAGAGAGAGAGAGAGAGAGAGAGAGAAGAGGAGAGAGAGAGAGAAAGAGAGAGAGAGAGAATGCGAGATAGAGAAACAAAAAAAGAACAATCAAAACACTCCCCCCCCCCTAAAAAAAAAACTATATATATATATATATATATATATATATATATATATATATATATATATATATATATATATATATATAAAGCAAACCAAAATATCCCGAAACGAAAAAGCAAAGAAAAAGGAGGAGAAGAGCAGGCCCGTCCGAGCACGAGCGAGAGGGCGGCGCGCGCGAGCCGACGCAATAAGCCATTCCTGACGCAACGCTCTACTACACAGAATCAGCTGATATTACCTTCTCGAGACGCCGCGGTCGCCGCCTCGCCGACACCTGCTCCTTATTGGCCTTCGAGACGCCGGGGAGGCACGTTCGCGCCGCTCTCGCTCCTCTCGCTGGCTGGGAGGCTGGGGGGGGGGGGGCGGGAGGGAGGGGGAGAGGGTTGGCTGTGGGAGTGGGGGGCGGGGGGGTAATTCGTGCGTGTGTGGATGGGGTTATTGTATGTGGATATTCAGGGTGGCAAAGTAATTGCGCGCGTGTGGGTATCTGGGCACATGCGACGGTGGGTATTCGCGAAT